TGAAGATGGGATTGAGCACAAAAGGATGTTAACCGAGCGATACACTGTCTGTAATTGTTTAGAATGATGATGGTTTTATGTTTTATGTTTGTTTTAAAATAAAAAATTGTTTGTTTGTTTTTTTAAAAAAGATGATTCTGTATCCAGAGAGAATAAGTTAAAATTACCCACTATAAACAATGTGGGCACTTCATAATGCTCCCTGCAATAAGCTTGGTTAAGGAACCCTGCAGCTGGGAATATTGTATAAGGAAACAACATCAGCTTGTGTTTTATTAGCTTATTCTCATTAATCTGGCATAACATCTGGTAACCAGCAGTATCTGGTAAACTTGTATTGGCTAGGGCTTCCTAGTCTTCTGTAGTTATAGCACATTTCTTGACCTATGGCATCTTGGTAATGATGTCAGTCATATTTTCTATCCTGAAGTTCAAATAGATTGATTTCTGCTGGAATATTTTAATATTCTTTACTGTGCTACTATTTTACTATTACTTTTTAGCTTCCATATGTAGAATCACAAATGTACAGATCCTTATTATGTTCACCAATTATACCAGCTGATCTTATTGCATGGATTGGTAGAGATTGTGAACTTTCCCTCACATCACTCCATCCAATATAGATAATGGCAGAGAAAGCCAGAGCTTAAGACAAAATAAATCAGGCCTGTGGAATGAGACCCAAGGTTTAAGTATTTAAAAAACGATGGCATAGGCATATGCTGTTGAAGTGGAATCTCTTGTGAACAGCTTGCTGCAGTTATAATTTTAATGAATATTGAAAGCTTAAGTGCCATCGTTTCCCATATCACTTTTTTCCGTCAAATGATTTATTGACCACTTATACATGATACATTCTCCTGTCATGGATAGCACACTATATATTTGTTTTCATGAATAATGGGCACCATTTTAATTGATAGTTTCAGACAGAGGAATAGATTTATTTCTTCAAAGAATAAAACCGCTCACGATATATAGTGGATATAAATTATTTCACCACTTATTCTAGTTTTCCTTTTACAACTCAAAATGCTGCTAAAGTCTTAACAAAAATCAATCAAACAACTCTAATACATTGCTATCCAGACATTTCTGTGAAGCACACGAAAACAATTTTTTTCCATAATGCTTTCAAAATGTGTGTTAAATGATCTTGCCAAGAGCCTTTGCTGAGCCAAGGAACTTCTGATGGATCTCTCTGTGAAGTAGCCGTGTTCTGTTGCTTTTAGTTTATTTGTCTTTCTGTGACACCCTACCTGCCTACCTCCCTAAGATTCATTTATTATAGAAGTATGTGCAAGTTACAGCCTTATCATTGAAAGTACACGGGCATTTCATCTCTCAAGAAATAAAGTTAAAATTCATTCATTGTCCTGATAACTTCATATCAAATGCTATTGTTTGTATACACCTGAGGGAGGAAATTCTGTGATGTTGTTTCTAGTTATGGAAGAAGATTAGTGATAAAAGTGAATTATTCTTAGCTCAGGGCTCAGAATAAATTTTGTGACTTTTAAGTGTATCTTTTAAAAGTATTATAAATTTTTATAAGAATGTATTTCTTTTCCCATTTGAATTAAAAGTCTTCTACTCTAGCTCTGAGGGACTGATATTAAAGCCCAGATTTTTTTTAGAGTTTTCATATTATTCTGGAGAAGTATAATGTAACCTGATGCTAAATTTTAGACAAAACAAAAATAATGGAATATTATTTTCTTGTAGACTATTTTCTTGCATAGTAACAATGCAAATGACTGTGCCTTCCTCCTCCACACCACTTGTTGTGAAATGCAGGATGTGTCTCTCTATGTGTATGTATGTGTATATACAATATATTACAATACTGTTATCTGAGAAGAGAAAATGATGAAATTGGGAATGACAACAATTTCTGTGATAAGGAATATAGAATTATCATGTCATTTTCTATATATTGATTGATGAAGGTTGAAATGGAGATATAAGAGATTAATTCTCTGGTCTTTAGAGAAAATAATCAGTTGCTAGGATTAGTCATTTAGTTAATATGGAGCACAGATTATCATATGAAGCATCTAAGATTCCCTAACTCACTGTGATATAATTTATTTATTTATTTTATTTGTTTGTTGGCTACCATCGTAGCAAAACTGTTGAAAAGGAAGGTTTTTATACTGCCCTCCATAGGATTCTACAGGTAGCACATCTAACCTAGCTAGCTAGTTTTTACTAGTCCGGTTGGTTTAAAATAAGTCTCTTAGAACCAATCCCACTGGGGAAATTTAACCAGAATTTAAGGAGATAGAGTCAGTTTTCTGGCACTTATAGAAACTGAACCTGTCTCTAATTATAAGAAGTCATTCTTGTTGCAATTTGTAACTGTGAGTATAGCCTTGGATAACTTCCAGCATGTTGATTTTTGTAAAAGTACAAATCTGAACACCATAAAGAAGCTGAAAAACTTTAGCAACAAAAAGACTTGCAAAGTGAGGAATAAATGGAATGGAACCATGTGTGTGTGTGTGTGTGTGTGTGTGTGTGTGTGTGTGTGTGTGTGTGTACTTTTATGTAACCCACTGCTGTGTCATGCAGACACTACTAGGGACCATCTGACTATTAATGAGGTGTTCAAATAAACAGTCCGGATAAGAAGCTGCAATCTTTTATCTACTGAGAATCTATCTAATTTTTTCCATAGTGTCTCCCGTGTAATCATATCAAAAGTTGATTTGAAAATCTCAAAATTTGCAGAAAGGGTTCCTTTGGGTGGTAAAGGGGTATTTTTCAACTAAATGATGCAGGACCACACAGTAGTCTACTACCTGTTCCTCAACAAGTATATTTTCCCTCTGAATCCAATCTAGTAGTTTGTAAAGTAAAATTAAAACTATTTTATCTACTTTAACTCGCTATAGCTCACTTATTGAATTAAGCAAGGTAATAATTAGAAGGGTTAGGTCTATTTCCTGAATTCATATAAAGTATTTTGTTTTGCTTTTGTTTTGGCACAGCTGCATATCAAAGACCCAAAGAAATGCAAAGTCTTCATGATACCCTCAAATAAGAACGAAAAGTTTCAGATCTATCTACTGTATATACTTCAGCTTACATAAATGAAAATTCTCTTTCATATTTTCCTGTTTCATCACTTGACCTAGTTTTTGACACATTTGATACACCGCTGCAATTAAAATTAAAATGGGAAAAGAACTTATTATTTGTTAGGCAACCTTTTGCTTTTACATATTTAAATTTTATAATGAGCATCTTACTCTACTGCCAGGTATGCCATCTAAACATTGTGTGATGTTACCTGTCCTCATCTACCAGCTATAACCTCACTGCTACTGGAAAACTACATTGATCAATAAAATAATTTGAAATCAAATTGATTCAGAGTAATTTTGAATTTCAGAAAATTCATATTTCTTTGACAATATGGTGTTCTGATATTGATATCACTTAAATGTTAGCTAAGGTGGAATGTTAGGGGAGGGAAGGAGATATTAGAGAACTGCCAGGAGAGAACAAATTACCTTTGGCTGTGCTCCAAAGGTACTACAGTGTGAAAGACGAGAGCCACTAAAGAACAAACATTTGATAATGGGGCATTTTGTGGTAACATTCCAAGATGTGATAATAATATAGAATTCATGCTTCATGACTTTAACCTTAGACTGTCTACTTTTGACCTCACCCATTCCTAAGAGGTCTGTAAGGGGCATGCATAAGCAAACCAACGTGCCTACCATCCCTGTCCTACTGTCCCCATTTATTTATATCCATTTCCTGTATTCATAATAATGTAGAGTAGAAGAAGGAATCCATGAGGTCCCTAGGTGGGAAAAATTGATGTCAGTCTATCAATAAGTAAATTGGAAAAAGAATATTTTAGCAAGTTGTATTTTTAAAAAATATTACCTAAATCTCTTAACTTTATAAATACTCAATTTTGTCTAGTGTTTTGTGACCAGGGAATTACTGGATATTCACAAATACTGGATATTACCCAGCTAAAAATTTAGATCAGGAAGTGAGTAGTACACTACGGGCAAGGATGAATGCCAACACATGCAATAGCCATGGTTCTTTTTACCAGATGATAAATGCCTCTACTATAATGATCCTAGTGACTCTATTTTTGATGGAATTTTGAATCCCATATTCAAAGAAGGTGGACAATATGAAGTTATTGCCACAGAAGAAATAGAGAAGTTGTTCGGTGAAATATACAGCATCCAAATGTAGCAGAATATAATGTTGCTTACCATTTGTCTTGTCCACCACTCAGTATTTACAAGGAAGTGGACATTAATAGAATAAACAGTATTGTTGCTGTATACCTTTTGCAGTTCCTTGGTATTTTAACAAGTAGAGCAGGAAATATTCTTAAAAATACAGTATATCTTCCACTCTTGGAATACCCTAACCAAGATCTGCATACTGGATCATTATCATCATAATTGTCATTTCATTGCCATTTTTTATCACCTTTTATTCATATATTCAGGCCTGATGTTACATTTCTGACTATTCAAGCTTTGGGCAGCCATAGACACCTTCAATTTATTAATTTGATCAATTTTACATTATCTAAAATATCATATCTGCTGCTGCTATCCATCTAGTTCTTTTTTAGCACTATGGCAGGTATTAACACATCTTGCGGGGTCAATCTTTTTAAAAAAACTCTGTTTGCTTGAGGTTTCAATATCAGCACTGTGTTATAGAGCTATAAAACTGAACCTTATTACCCCAATGTTTACTGCTCATGAGAGCAATAAGGGTTTATAAATTCTCACTCCTGCTAGTTTACACTTTAGAAAGATAAGAAAAGAAAGGCATGAAAATGCCTCCTGTCTCGCTAAATATTTATTTTATGATTGTTGTAAGAGTTTATAAGAGTTGGGCTTATGATTGAGCATGAATGTCTCCAAATGAGTATTACATTAAAATACTAAGTTGTAAATTGAGTTGGGGGAATGGGACTAATATTACAGTACAAAGCTGCTTACTTTTTAAAAGAAACATCTCTGTGTTTGTTTCTCCCACTTGAGCTGTTTGGTTCTCTCTCTATTTGGCCACCTGTCTGGCACCTCTCTCGACTCTGAGTGGCATTTTCTGTGATTGCTCCCCTCTGCAGTTTTGATAACTTCTGTAGAAATATAAGAATTGCAGTCTAAACTTAGAAGTTTAGTCACATAGAATAAGTTTACTTAAATGAAAGTGTTCTCAACCGGGAAATCATGTGTGTGTGTGAATGAGTGTGAGTGTAATGCTGTGTGTGCATGTTTGTATGTGTGTCAGAATAATAACTAAATCACAAGACTACATCTGATTTATTTTGGCCATGCCATGCATGCATATTCATTGGAAAAGTCAGTGATGCTAGGAATTATTATGGGAAGAAGAAGAAGAAGGGGCAAGCAAATAACTCACTGGCTTCATACCATCAAAACTGATACAAATATGAACATCCAACAACTGAAAGAAGATGCACTTGGCAGGATAGCATGGAAAGCACTTGCCTATAAAGCAGGGCTGAAAATGCTCCCGGTTCAGGCCAGATCGCTGGATCTGGAAGTGATGGCGGCGGGTGGTTCGGAGAACGGGTAGCAAAAATACCTGCCCCCCCCTGCCCAGCTGTGCCACGCAATCATCAGAGGCTTTTTTTAATTTTTAAAAGCATTTTGTCTACAATCTCTTCTGCCAAAAAAAATGCTTTTAAAAGTAAAAAAAAACCCTCTGATGATCACACGGCTCAGCTGGGATCATCAGAGGCTTTTAAAAGCATTTTTGTCGAGCCTCGTTGGGTCTCGCCATCACTAGGAGGACGACGAGGAGGGGGCAAGCTGTTGGACTCTCCGGGGGCATGTCATCAGCTGTTTGAGAAGTCTTTACCACCCGCAACACAACGAAGCAAACTCTTTCATCGGAGATGGTGTGGGGGCATGGTGTTTGCAGATGACGCTGCCTTGTGCTGTAACAGAGGCGCGCTCCTCCTACAGGCCAGCTTGAGGAAGGAGGGATGATGTTGACTGTTTGATTGTTAATTGATTTATTGTGCTCCTCCTTCAGGCCAGCTAGGGGAAGGAGGGGTGATGTTAACTGTTTAATTGCCACTTGATTTATTGCTGTGTATATAAAAGGCGCTACACTGCGATTGCGTGTAGCGCTAACTTTAAACCTTGTTTCCGGCTTGTGCCTTTCTCCTGCCTGTGTTTGCTGTGCTGAACCTAATTAAAGGATTGCAACTGCTTTATTCCGTTCTGGTGTTGGCTTGTTTCCAGTGCAGTTGGGTGGACTGGCCGAGAGAAAGTTAGCGCAGCTAACAAATCCTTCATAAGCGGAAGGGGGTATAGATGTTCTATACATACTCCATTCAAATCTCGGAAGTCAACACATAACCGAACCCCACCGTCCTTCTTCTCCCTGAAGAAGACTGGGGCAGCCATCCTAGATCTACTAGGGACGATGAAACCTCGAGCTAAATTTTTGTCGATATATTGTCGTAACTTGGATAATTCTTGTTGGGTCATGGAATACATCCGAGGTTTCGGTAACTTAGCCCCAGGCCCAACTCGATAGCGCAATCCGTAGTCCGATGGGGGTGTAGTACTTCGCATTCCTCTTCACTAAACACGGCTGAAAGGTCTTGGTAAACAATAGGAAAGTCCGGTGTAAGCAACACCTCTGTGGAGGCACAGCTATTGTCCTGTCCCTCATTCGACTGTCCCACTGAAGAAGCAGGGGACGGGACAGCAGGTCCCAAAGGGATTCTAAGCTTACGATAACCTCCCTCCCACCAGATGTGAGGTTGCCATTTATCTAACCATGTGAGACCCAGAATAACTGGCTCTATCATTTTTTCAACCACAATAAACTGGATGGACTCTTGATGTTCACCTATCACCAATAACACTTGTTCAGTTACGTGGTTAGCAGGCCCCCCCAATAATGACCCGTCCATCTGTTCGAACTTCACAGGAACTTTTAGCTTTTTTATCTGTAGGCCCAGAGCATCCACCACACTTCTCCGCACCAGACAACGGGTACATCCAGTGTCTATTAAAGCACCATACTGAAAACCGTTGTGTTTCGGGGATTCCTCAGCACCACAGGTATGACAAAAGGGAACACAGTTTTGCTCACCATAGGGTCCTCCGGCTCGTTGTCATCACTGTCCCCTGACACCACCGGGAATCTCCCCCCACAGTGGTTGGTGTAATATCACGAACCTGATGATCTACGAGGACGGCTTTGGTCCTTGAAGTGCTTGGGTATGTTCTTGTGGCTGCCGTGGTCGGCCTCTGGTCGCTACCCCCGTAGCCGGCTTTCGGGTTTGTACTCGTACCGGAGGTACAGGACATTCAGCCGCTCTGTGTCCTATCTGATTGCAGCGAAAACAACGAAACGCCGGTCGCTGAGACCTTTCAGGTAGGACGCTACTGGGCGGAGGTACTTGAACCGCGTGGTTGGCAGCTTTTCTGAGGCCCTCTCCGTGGGAACCCGTCTCTGTCCCACATTAACTTCCGACCGAGGCCTAAACTCCCGGAGTGTAATGTCCAGTTCAATAGCGGCTTTAAACCAAACAGCCAGGCGCGGAGCCAGGCCTCGGTACGCACAGGCTTGACGTAACTCACGATCCAGCCCCATCCGAAATTGCTGGACTAGCATCCGTTCGGGCCAGTCCCTTAAGCAACTAGCAATTTTCCGGAAATCACGTACATAGTCCTTTGCAGGAACACCCCGCTGTTTGAGGGCTACAAGATCTCCTTCCGCAATTTGTACACTGGAGTCATCCTCAAAAGCAGACCGGAGAGCTTCCAAGAACCTACCCACGTCCACTAGTTCTCTAGCATGGTTGCGATGTAATCCCGCCACCCAGTCTGCTGCATCACCGGTTAACACAGCTGTAATGGCTACCACCATGGCCCATTGTGATGGATACCAGCGACCATACTGGTCTAGATGACTAACCACCTGGCTTAAGAACAACGCCACACGGTCTGGGCTCCCGTCAAAGGTGGCTTGCAGTGCAGGAGGGCCCCAGATTGGAGGTGGTGCCCACATCCCAGGAACCGGGATCCATGCTGGGGGTGGTACAGGCGGTCTGTTTCCCCATTCGTGGCCACCAAAATTGACGTCTAATCAGGTGAAGTGTTTTAAGGAAAACCAGCAGGTCATTACGGTTTCCTTAAAACACTTCACCTGATTAGACATCAATTTTGGTGGCCACGAATGCGTGGTGAAATTGAACGTTATGTTAAATCGTGCCCCACATGCGCGGCAGCAAAACCATGGTCAGGAAAACCACTTGGTCGATTACAATCGGTGGCTGATCCTAGTCGTCCGTGGGAGGAAGTGGCGATGGATTTTATAGTAGACCTACCGCCCAGCAATGGACATACCGTTATTTGGACAGTAGTAGACCTATTTTCAAAGCAGGCGCATTTTATACCCTGTCAGGGTTTACCATCTGCCTGACGATTGACAGACATGTTTATACAACATATCTACCACCTTCACGGTGTCCCGAAGCGTATTATATCAGATCGAGGTGTCCAGTTCACTGCCCAGTTTTGGAGATCTTTCATTCACAGGATAGGGTCCACTCAAGGATTAAGTTCAGCCTTCCATCCCAGTACAAATGGAGCAGCTGAAGGGCTAATGCCGCTGTGGAACGATATCTACGTTGCTACGTTTTGTATCAGCAAACTGATTGGTCTGCCTTACTCCCGTTCGCTGAAGTCGCGTACAACAATATCAGCCACCGTAGCACGGGATTTTTCCTTTCCAAATCATCTATGGAAGAGAATTCCCTGCCATACCTGAGGTAGAACCTCCAGCTACAGGGGGTATCTACACATTCCGGTTGGGCCGACAAGATCCGACAAATGTGGCCAGCGGTAAAAACGGCGCTTCAAAAAGCAGCAAATGAATACAAACTTTATGTTGATAAAAAAAAGAGCCGACTCAAAACCGTTTTCTGTAGGGGATCACGTGTATCTATCGACAAAATACTTGAAATTACGATTACCTAGTAGGAAACTAGGTCCCAAATACATAGGTCCTTTTCCTATAATACGTGTGATCAACCCTGTCACTGTCATGCTTAAGCTACCTTCACTGTTAGGAAAAATACATCCTGTTTTTCATAGCAGCCTCCTTAAACCTGTCAAAGAGGAAAGGCCCACACGTCAGCCTGTTTCCCCGGGACCGAGTCATTCAGATCAATATGAGATAGATAAAGTATTGGATTCACGTCTACGTAGAGGCAGGTTACAGTACTTAGTACGGTGGAAGGGTTATCCACTAGCACAAGCATCTTGGGTAGCAGCTCCAGACGTTCATGCCGACCGGTTGCTCCGTCGGTATCATCGTAAATATCCAAATAAACCAGGTCCCAGTGGGTAGAACGGTTGCTATGCTAACATCTTTATTTTATTTCCTGCAGGTGGACTCCTGGTAGAGAGGAGCTGCCTGTCGAGCCTCGGTTGGGTCTCGCCATCACTAGGGAGGACGACGAGGAGGGGGCAAGCTGTTGGACTCTCCGGGGGCATGTCATCAGCTGTTTGAGAAGTCTTTACCACCTGCACACACAACGAAGCAAACTCTTTCATCGGAGATGGTGGGGGCATGGTGTTTGCAGATGACGCTGCCTTGTGCTGTAACAGAGGCGCGCTCCTCCTACAGGCCAGCTTGAGGAAGGAGGGATGATGTTGACTGTTTGATTGTTAATTGATTTATTGTGCTCCTCCTTCAGGCCAGCTAGGGGAAGGAGGGGTGATGTTAACTGTTTAATTGCCACTTGATTTATTGCTGTGTATATAAAAGGCGCTACACTGCGATTGCGTGTAGCGCTAACTTTAAACCTTGTTTCCGGCTTGTGCCTTTCTCCTGCCTGTGTTTGCTGTGCTGAACCTAATTAAAGGATAGCAACTGCTTTATTCCGTTCTGGTGTTGGCTTGTTTCCAGTGCAGTTGGGTGGACTGGCCGAGAATTTTTCTACAACTTCTTCGGCTGAAGAGGTTGTAGAAAAAATGCTTTTTAAAAGCCTCTGACGATCCCACTGAGTTGTCTGATCGTCAGAAGCTTTTAAAAGCAATTTTTTCACAATCTCTTTGGGGCCGAAGAGGTTGTAGACAAAAATGTTTTTAAAAGAAAAAAAAGCCTCTGATGATCAGGCAACTCAGCTGGATCATTCAGAGGCTTTTAAAAGAAAAAAAAGCCTCTGCCAATCAGGCAACTCAGCTGGGATCGTCAGAGGCTTTTAAAAGCGTTTTTTACAACCTCTTCGGCAGAAAAGGTTATAGAAAAAAATGCTTTTAAAAGGTTCTGACAATTCCAGCTGAGTTGCCTGATTGGCAGAGCCTTTTAAAAGCATTTTTTACAACCTCTTCTGCCAAAGAGGTTGTAGAAAAAATGGTTTTAAAAGTGTAAAAAAAAAAAAGTTGGCCACCCAGTCACATTACCCCCCCACCAAGCCACACCCACAGAACCAGTAGTAATAAAATTTACATTTCACCACTGCTATAAAGTTGCCAAAAGTTGGACACAAACTAAATGGTTGTAACCCATTTTTAAATTTAAAAAAAAATCAAATCTTGATTCAATATGTTTTGAATCTTTTATCTTCGATTTCAAATCAGAAAGAAGCACATGATATTTTGATATTCTGAATTTTCAGAATGAAGTAGAGTACGGTATAATCTTACTGATGTAATGCAGGTGTCTTCACCGATTGAGATGACATTCCCTTTCCTAGGCCTTTGTTTTAGTCTGATGTAATACACTGCCTTCAGCAGTCCTAAATAGAAAAGAAAAAAAGATAGCATACCTTTAACAAGTATGCCCTTGTGACTCAGGACATGTAGAAACAACTGGACATGTTCTTCTGTACTGGTAGTTTTACCCAGCATCCCAAAATGTTTTAATTGCCCCACTCTTGGCTAATAAAACAGGATAGAGTGACCAGCAATACAAGCAATTCTTACTTTCTGATATTAATCCTGAAATAACATTTAAGATTGCCAGGTTCTGGAAAATGGCATACAAAATTAGACAAAGAATAATTAAGAGAAATTGAAGTTGTTTGAGCAGAGAATGGCTCAGCTTCAGCATTATCCACTGGTCTTTTCTTTTTCTTTAATCTTAGCTACTGTATAATCCCTTCATCGGGGGCTCTATAATTGTCAGCGGCTCTATAATTCTAGATTTTAAATTAGTTTTAACTAATACGAATAATACTTTTTATCATATTTTAATGTATATATACTTTTTTATTTATTATTGAATGTTGAATGATTTTCAAGAAACTATTTTATTCCCTTTTTCCATTCTACCGATTAATGATTGGATTAAAATTATTTGATTTGACTCCCTTTCCTGCTTTACTTCAATTTCCCCTAATACTAGACCTAATATTCTTTCTTCTAATCCACTTTTCCTCAGAGAAGACTAAAACCATACTCCATTGCTGAAACAAAGTAAGAGTAACTATATTGGGGAGTGATAAATGGCCTTCAGACAATTTCTTTTTTCTGGGGCTATTCCAGAAAATAGCTTTGAAAATATGGCATATTTATTCCAGAAAATAGTTTTGAAAATATGGCATATTTATTCCAGAATATGGCTTTGTAAATATAGTATATTTATAAGACACACACATTCATTCATTCATTCTGTCTCTGTGTGTTTATTTTGGTGTTACATGTTCTAAAGGTTCATTAATAAAAGCTCTTCATAGTTTCAAATTGACATTCTTTTTCATTGCAAGTGATCTTACTTGGCATGAAAGCTATATGTCATTGTTTCGCTTCAGAAATGCTTCTTCTGCATAATAAAGAAATGCAATAACTCACATTTCTGTACCAGTGTCAAATATATACATGGCCTGTTCTGATTAGATTTTAAATTTCAATGCCAGAAGTAATAATGTAGAATATTGCCACAAAAACTAACCAAGTAATATTTGAACAATTTCCTTCCAATTCACAGATCCAGACATTACTGTAATGTTGACTTGCCATAATATTAGGCATATTGTAAATTGTTTGATATTGAATGTAAATAATGTTGGTACATATTCAATAAAACTTTCTTGTCACCTTTGCATTTATTTACATGTCATAGCACATCTATTTTCACTCATATGGTTTCAAGTGCAGTTCTATCATTTTCCTTAAGTCATTTTTGAAACCTGTGTCATTTTCTCAACAATACTAGATAGTTTTATATCTCTCAATACTTACTCTTGTATTAGATACCAGAGGCAACTGATGAAAAGGGTATGTAATATATATCGCACATTCTAAAATGCTTTAAAACAGACAACTCATATGAGTATCACAATTAATGAAAGATTTTCAGTCTCCATATTCATTGTTTCTTTTTATATGGCAAGTAGATTGAAACTGAGAAAGTCAATTTCTGATAATGACTTTTTCCTAAAACATGATCTTTTTCTTTCCCTTTTCTTTTCTCTCTCCTCAGTGGGTTCCTATCACAATCAAAATTTCTATTGTGCTTCTACGTCAGGTGATATTGCAAAGTTGTATCATTATGTTGGCTTTGTATAATAATTTCAGTTATGATATCCACATGAATGCAGCTCAGGATTGCACTAGGGAAATGATTGTCTTGGTACACTCAAGATATTTCTGTTCCTTTCTGTTGTTCCCTATCATACCAAACTTTCTTTCTTGCAGGAAAGTTAATATAGTTACAATGATCCTGTTTTCCATAAATGGCTTCCTTAAGGGCCCAGCCCCAGCAAAGCATTTGAGCCAGGAATTAGAAGATGGGAATGATGCTAGCCAATAAAAAATGAAACTGGATGAAGGTAGAATGAATGAGATAGATAGGCTGCAACATATTGATGAATCTTTTTTCACTTCTTTCACTTTCAAAAGCTAAAGGCTAATATAGATGGATATTATTTTGAAAGATCAAATTATTGTAGATCTATGTGGTATGTAAGAGGTCCAGAGCATTTGGAGTCTGTAGTTCTTAGAACCGTCAAATAAAGGCAATTTGCTAAGGGTTACAATGATTTTCCATAACATCCCTATATGGTTTTGCTTTGATTTTTCTGATTTCTAGGTTTTACTCTCAAAATAAACAATAAATGGGCATATTTTAATTTTGTTAAAAATTACAAATTCAGACAGCTTATCAATTTGTGGAAATGAAAATGAAGACAGGCTATTGAGGCTATCTGATAAGAATGTATGTATGCTAAATGAATTAGAAAATTAAAGAAAGTTCAGTTTACTCTGCAGAATAATAACAATAACACTGAATTCTATTCAAATATACATCTTTAGCTATGCTGTTAATGTGTTTCTAGGAGTTTGTTGGTTTGGCAAGAATAAGCCATGTAAAACTAATCTTTTCTATTTTTATGACAGACTGACTGAGTGAATGTTTTTGATATGGTGTACTCTGATCTCAGGAAAACATTTGGCAATATGGGTACAGCATGGAAACGGCATTGGTCGCATTGGTTGATGATCTCTGGAGGGCTCGGGACAGGGGCTGTTCCTTTGTTCTGGTCCTGTTAGACCTCTCAGTGGCTTTTGATACCATCGACCATGGTATCATGCTGCGCCGGCTGGAGGGGTTGGGAGTGGGAGGCACCGTGTTATGGTGGTTCTCCTCCTATCTCTCTGACCGGTCGCAGTCCGTGTTGGCAGGGGCCCAGAGGTTGCCTTGTTTGTGGGCTGCCGCAAGGGTCGGTTTATGTGAAGCCGCTGGGTGAGATCATCCGTGGTTTTGGGGTACAATGCCATCTGTACGCTGATGACACTCAGCTGTACATCTCCACCCCAGACCACCCCAATTATGCCCTTGAAGTGATGTCCCAGTGCCTGGAGGCCCTGCGGGTCTGGATGGGGAGGAACAGGCTCCGACTCAACCCATCCAAGACCAAATGGTTGTGGTTGCCAGCGTCCCGATATAGCCAGCTGGTGCTGGGGGCTCATAACTTGGGCATCTTCCTGGATGCACGGCTGTCTTTAGAAGAGCATATGATGGCCGTGGCCAGGGGGGCTTTTTATCAGGTTCGCCTGATACGCCAGTTGCGCCCCTTTCTGGATCGGGACTCCTTATGCATGGTCACTCATGCCCTCATTACTTCCCACCTGGACTACTGTAATGCTCTCTACATGGGGCTCCCATTGAGGAACACCTGGAGGCTCCAACTGGTCCAGAATGCGGCCGTGCGGGTGATTATGGGGGCGGCATTGTGCTCCCATGTAACACCTCTCCTGCGCGAGCTGCACTGGCTTCCGGTGGTCTTCCGGGTGCACTTCAAGGTATTGGTTCTCATCTTTAAAGTGCTCCATGGCTTAGGGCCTGGGTATCTACGAGACCACCTTCTGCCACAATTAACCTCCCACCAGCCAATACGCTCCCATAGAGAAGGTCTCTTCCTCAGTCGGTCAAGCAATGTTGACTGGTGACCCCCAGGGGGAGAGCCTTCTCTGTGGGGGCACCCGCCATCTGGAACGAGCTACCCCCAGGGATATGACTGTTCCCGGACCTCTGTACTTTCCATCGGGTGCTGAAGACTTTCTTATTTCAGCAAGCCAGGCTGGCTTAGAATATTTTAATAGGTTAATTTTATGGGTAATGGGTTTTAAATTGCGAAAGCCAAACTGATTTAATTATTATTTAAACTATTTTAATTTTCATATTGTATGTATTTTAATCTTGGCATTTCACCACCCTGAGTCCTTCGGGAGAAGGGCAGTATAAAAATTTAATTTAATAATAATAATAATAATAATAAAAAATAATAATAATAATAATAATAATAATAATAATAATAATAATAATAATATTTGTAATTATCTTGTGTCCTTGTGAGTGTTATGGCTATAACTATGAAGTCTGGTGGATTGTTAGGGGTGCTTATAAATGTTTCTCATTGTCCTAGTATCATCTGTCAAAGATATAGAAGGTGAATAAATGGTATATCTATCAGGTTTATGATGGAACAAAGCAAATGTTACTGACTAACACTTTAGAGGTTAAATAATAACTTAAGAAACCTTGGCAGAGTTGAATGCTGGGCCATATCCAATACAGGTAGTTCGATATTCAAGAGTGATGGGTTTAAGATGCTGCACTTAGGTAAGAAAAATCTAATGTTCAAGATCGGAGAATCCTGGCTGGATGAATTTCAAGGAGAACTGGGAGAATGATGAGGGATCTGGAAATCAGAAACTATAAAATCTGGACATCTTCAGTCTACAATAAAGAGACTAGGTGTAGTTGTGAAAAGGGTTGGTAAATACCTAAAAGGGTTCTTAAATGCAGGTGGAAGATTAATTGTATAAATACAAGTCTGATGATAAAATTGAATAATTATTTGACCATCAATCCATTCCAACAATGGATAAAGATAACAGTTAAAACCAGTGGTGGGATTCAATTTTTTTAACAACAGGTTCTGTGGGTGTGGCTTAGTTGGGGGTGTGGCTCGGCAATCATGTGACTCGGTGGGCGTGGCTAGCTGGTCATGTGACTGTGTAGGCATGGCTAGCTGGTCATGTGACTGTGTAGACGTGGCTAGCTGGTCATGTGACCGGGTGGGCGTGCCTATGTGCATAGGGATTACTCAGAGGGCTGAAAAAAATCATTTCTGACTGGGCTTCGCACTTTTGACCGGTCCTCACACTTATGACCATCCTCACATTTATGCCCGTGCAGCTTTCTTAACAACCATGTCACTCATTTCACAACTGCTTCTCTTCACCATGGTGACAAGATAGGGCAAAAACGTAAAATGTGAGGACA